CGTGCGCCCTTGCCCCAGCCAGGCCCAGATGGGAGGAGACAAAGGGTTTGGGGGACTAAGCACTTGGACTCTCCAGGTCCGACGAAAAGGCCCAGGCCGCGGTTTGGAGGGATCTGGGGGGAGGCCAGGTAGCCTTAACTGGGGCGTCGGGGGCGTGACGAGGTCCAGCCCCGCCGCAGGGGGAGGGGCCCCTCCTGAGCCACTGCCCGCCGTGGCCCCTCCCCTCCGGGAGCCGGGCGGGAGTCCCGGGCCCTGATTGGGCGGCGCCGCGGGCCGCGCAGCACGACCAATGAACGCGGGCGGGGCGCAGCGGCGGGCGAGGGAGGGAGAGCTGTCTGGAGCCGCGGCGCGGGCGGTCTGAGCTCCGCGATCCCAGCCCGGGGAGAGGCGGGTGGGGCGGGGCGCGAACCTCGGGAGCGAGCCTGGTCGCCCGCCCGGCCGGCCGCGGAGACTGTCGCCAGGCGCCGAGGTAGGGGTCGGTGGGGAGGGGACCTGGGGCGGGGAGCGGGAGGGGACGAACGCCTGAACGTCTGCTCGGAGCCTGTAGGGAAGAGGGATGGTCTACGAGGCCGCGTCTAACGAGGGCCTCCGGGACCGCATTGGTGCGGGGATCCTCCCCCCTTTTGGGGGGCCGGATCTACGAGGTACCTCCCGGAGCCCGCTTCTATCTGCGCCGGCAGCCTGGACCGCATCTATGCGGGCACTCCGCCATCTGCGTCGCTTCCCCAGCTCTAGTCTGCGGGGCTGCGTTCATTCCCGGCGCACTACCCACCCCCGCCCCAGCCGTGGGTGGGAGGCCGTGTGTCTGCAGAGTGGGCCCAGACCTGTGCACCCACGTGTGGATCAGTGCGGAGTGCTCCTCCTACACGGCTCTCCGCTGAGTCTTCCTGCAAAACCTGGGGAGAGGCGGGGTGGGGGGTGGGGTTCTGGATGAATGGAACAGATGTGGCGTGTGGCTTTAGCTGCGCAGTAGTCCCCCTGGATGGGGCCGGGGTGGAGGGGTTGGAAGAAGCGGGCACTGCGGCTTCAGGGGCCTCACAGGCACAGAATTGGTGGCTCGAATAGTGCACACGTGCGCGGGGACCTGTGTGTGGTGTTTGGAGGTGGGTGTGCGTGTCACGTGGACACAGGAGTGTGCCTGTGTGTCTGAGGGGAGCGCATGACTGGATGGAGTGGTGTGTGAGGGCCGATCACATGGACGTCGGCGTGCGACGTCGGTGTGCGCATCTCTGGGGGTATGTGTGTGTCTGGAGGGTGCAGAGGTGTGTAGAAAAGGTTATGCCCCAGGTCCCAGGACTGTGCCTTTGTGGGTGCATCTGGGGCTGTGTATCTGCCAGGTGGGCCAGGGCATCGGGAGGATCACAACGCTTGTGTCCTTGAGGATGCACTGGCCCCCACACAGCCCTCACTCCTTCGTGCAGCAGGTACAGATTGAGCACCCACTGTGTGTCAGACCATGTCCTAGGCTCACAGACTCTGGGGACCCTTGCCTCCTCCTTGGCCTCTCACCCTCAGTCCCCACAGCGGGCAGGGGGATCATGTTAAACCTCATCCAACTGGGTCATTGCCCTGCTCAGAACCATCCTCTGGCTTTTGAGGCCTCCTGGTCTCTGTCCACAAACCCCTCCAAAGTCAAGCCCTGAGTCCCAGTCTGAAAATGGCTGTCTGTCATGCACAGTGAGAACTTCCATCCTCTCCCCTCCAAAATCCTTACTCAGTGGTCATGAAAGAGCTTACATACCACCTCCTCCAGGAAGCCTTCCCTTGGGCCAGGCACAGCAAATGGCTGGGCCTTCTCATCCAGGTGTAACTCTGCTCGCCCGGGTACCTCTCACGCGCAGAACCCCACTCCAGCAACATTAGTCGCTTGCTGTTCCTCAGACTGTGAGCACTATCCCACCTCACAGCCTTTGCAGGTGCTGGTTCCCCTGCTGCAGTGCCCTTCCCAGCTGTGCACACTGCCTGCCTCCTCACTTCCTCCAGCTTCTACTCACATTCTACAGAAAGGCCTTTCTGACCACACTATAAATAGTACCCCCCAGCCCCTACCTTTGATTCCCCTTACATGACTGTATTTTTCTCCATAGCACATACCACTTGACATATATCATCTGTTAATTACTGCCTTTCTTGTGTATTGCTTCTTGCCCCTACTAGAAATTAAACTGCCTGGAAGCAGGGACTTTGTCTTTGTGCTTCACTGTTTTATTTCCCAGCACCTAACATGGGAGGTGCTTATGGGATGTTTGTTGCATGGATGAGTGACTCTGGATTTGCATCCCAGGAGTCTGTGTCTCTGGTTGCTCCCTACCCTGTGAGCTCCCTGTCTGAGGCTAGGTCTGCTCTTCTTCTGTCCTCCAGATTCCAAGTTCCTGGAAGGCCAGGTGTGGGAAAATTGTGACCACATTTGCGTGTTAGAAATACTCCCTCTAGCAACTGGTGTGGAGGAGGGTGTGGGGTGGGGTCAGGGTATGAGCCTGGAGGTGGGGAGACTGTGTGGCAGAAGCAGTGGGAAAGAAAAGCAGAGGCCTAAGTCCTAACTTAGTGGCCTCACCCAGCAGTGGGGAGATCAAGGAGGGCTCCCAGAGGAGGAGACATCTGAGCTATCCTCCAGCAGCAAAATAGAGGGAGGTGTGTCCCTGGCAGAAGGCACAGCTTGTACACAGCTTCTGGCAGCAGAACAGAGTCTACAGTTTGGGAAGCTGCGAGTGGCGTGATGCAGCCAGAGTAGAGAGTAAGTGTGGGGCTAGGGGAGCAAGGATGGGCGAAAGGGAGAAGATGGGCTCCCGGGTTTCTGGAGAACTGGGAGGATGACGGTACTTTTACCTCTGCATCAGGCAGAGGAGGAAGGGCAGACTTGGGGGAAATGCTAAGTTGAATGGGAACCCTGTGGGTCTGAGCTGCCCAGGAACATGGTGGGCAGGAGGCAGCTGGCTGGAAAGAATTGGGCTGGAGGTACAGACCTGGTGTGGAAGATGAGGAGGGGCAGAGATAGAGGGTGATGCCCGGAGACCATCAGCCAAGACGTGCTGAAGATGCACTGAGGGTTGCCATGCCAAATTGGGTACAGAGCCCACCTCAGTGCTTGGGGCCCCTCCAGGGATGATGGGAGGGGCGTCCTCACAGTAGGCATCCTCAAGCATGACTTGGCACTAGATGCCTGGGCCTCCCTCAAGGAGAACTGAGTCATCCCGGGCGGAGGCAGGAGCTGCAGAGGGTACCCGTTGCCAGGGCTGTCCAGACACTTGTCAGGAGCATAAGCACAGCGCCTGTGAGGCAGCCTGGCGATGTCAGCGCGACCTTCTGTGTCTGGCCTGGATGGCTAGATCGCCTCCTTGCAGCTTCCCCTTCTGGCCAGTTTTTGGATGGCCAGGCCATGTCCTCTCTGCCTGGATGGTGGGGGCCGCTCAGCCTGGCCCTGAGATTCACAGCAGCCTTCCGGAATTCAGAGTGAGGTCTGAGTGGTGCCTGAAATCATCCCAGGAGGGGCTGCTTGAACATTTGGACAAGAGCAGGGTCTGCCTGCTCTCTCCTGTCTGGGCCTCCTCCGAGCGACCCACGTGGGGGGGGCACATCCTGAGGAGGAGGCCAGGCCAAGCAGGCATCTGGAACCAGGGTCTGCACGCTGGAAGTAGCCAGACACCTGGGGGTGGGGGGCATAGCCTGAGGGGGTTAATGTGCCAGGCCATCCTGGAGCCAGGGGGCAGATATGGGGTTCTACATTGTACATCAAGGCTCTCTATCTTGGTGGCTTCTGGATATAGACACATCCTAGCCCGGTATCACTCGGGGCACGGACTGCTTCTCTGTCCACGATCTCATCTACTTCCTTCTATAGCCCTGGGAGTTGGCAGGATGACAGCCTCCTGCTTGATTCACATGTGAGAAAACGGAGGCCCCAAGAGTCTCAGTGACTTTTCCAAGGCAACACGACCCAAGTCTGGGAGGACAGGATTAGGGTAGCTTTTCCCAGTGAGAGAGGGCCTGAGTCTGGTCATTCTTGGCTACGGGACCGGGCTGGTCCCTGGAAGGCTCTCCATGCCCATAGAGTCCATGCTGGGCCATGAGCCTGGGGTCCTAGCCTGTCTGTCGGTCCTTCTATTTGCCCATGTAGCCCCTAGTTGCCTACCCAGTCAGTTTCAACAAAGTGTCTACTGAGGCCTCAGCTTGGGGAGGACCCTGAGAGCCCCCCTGGGTGGCCCCTCAGAGAGGGGTGGCACCTGCCCAGGACACACAGCCCAGCCTGGTGGACAGGTGACCATGTGGGAAGTTCAGACTTGACCTTCTGAGATCAGGTGTCCATGCAGACCCCACCCTGCATTCTGGAGCTCATGTACAGGAAGACTAAAGGCACCCAGTGCACATTAACACATTTACACACCTGTGTAGACCACACCGCTAGAGTTCTGTCCCCATGCAGATGCGCTTCTCTGTGTGGACTTTTCCACCCCCGCCCCCCACAGACGCACACCGTGACCCCAGTCCACATCCCTGCTTGCACACGTTCTCTCATGTGTGGACACATGCCCTCAGATGCATAGCCTCAGGTGCTAGGCCCCGTCGCCTGGACATGAGGCTGGAACTTGGGGCCTCCCCACTGCCTCCTGCGCAGACATGCTTAGTCACCTGAATTTGATCCAGGCAGGAGGGAGGGTGGAGGGCCTGACGTCAGCCTTCATAGCCGCCTTATGCCGCCTGCACATCCATCTGGGCCACAGCGTGTCCTAGGCAATTGCAACAACAGCTGCACAACAACTCACTTTTACGGAGCTTCCCCAGTGGCAGACTCAGGCCTGAGCCCGGTATGGGTAGTGTTCACACCTTTTCACCCCATGACTACCCAGTGAGGTGAGACTGCTCTTAGCCCCATTCCATAGATGAGGAAAACTGGGGCGCAGAGGTTGAAGTCACCGGCCCATGGGCCCACACCAGGAAGAGATGGAGCCTGCAGCCTGGCTTTGGAGCCTGGGCCCTTAACCAGGGAACAGGACCCCAGGTTGGAGGAGAGGGACTTCTGCCTTGACTCGCTGTGTGAGCCTGGGCCCATCCTTGGCCCTTGCTGGGCCTCACTTTCCCATCTGAGAAAAGGGAAGGAAGGGAATTAGAGGAGGATGGCTTCTTGCTGGGATAACAGCTTCAGGGAAATCATATGCAAATTGTATGGGCCAGGGCCACCTGTTGCCTCTGCCCATCTGGAGGCTGCAGAGCAGAGAGCTGGAGCTCCTGATACTGATTCACTCCCTACCATGGACTGGGGCCCTGGGCTTGTTGGGGTCCCCTTTCTGAGGCTGCTTTCCCAGGTCTATTGGGGACAGCACTATAATGATCACTATGGCAACCACTCATTCATTCAACATATATTTATTGAGCTCCTACCATGTGCCCGGTACTGCTGCAGATACCAATGATCTTATGGAGACAAGGCAGACAAGAGCCCTAATCTATGGATTTTATATTCCAGTAGAAGGAAAGGGGGGCCTATATGGGGTGACGGTGAGGGGCAGCAGGATGGTCCAACTCCAGGGAGCAGTGGAATGGGCCAGCCAGGCTTGGAAGGCTCCCTTCAGCCTTGGCTTCCTCCTTCCTGCAAGTGGCCTGGTTCCTAAAGCCTCCCTGATACATCAACTGCATTCACTGCCCCGCCCCCCCATCTCTTTTAGGGAGGACTCCTTGATGCCTCAGCCCTACTCACCTTCCTCACCTCCTTTGGAGAGGCCTTCCTGATGTTCTAGCCCTACCTGGCTCCCTCACCTCCTCCAGGGAGGTCTCCCTGATGTTCCAGTCCTGTTCATTCTCTCATTTCCTCCAGGGAGGCAGCCTTGATGCTCTAGGCTCACCAGCTGCCCATTCCTCTAGGTCCAGCCTTCATGTCTTTTCCTATTGCCAGTCTGGATTCCCTTCCCCCTTCCTTTCTGTGTGTCAACATCAGCTCTACCACCTTTGGGTTTCTACTCAATTCAACACACTGTGTGCCAAGCACAGGGGTTCTGGATGACACTCTTGCCCACTATCCATCTCTAAGCCTTGTTGTGGCCCTAGGGAATCTGAGAAGGTCCTGCATCAGAGTACAGAGGGAGAGACTGAGGCTCAGAGTCAGGAAGGAGCCTGCCTCAGACCCCACAGTAGGTTGGCAGACAGGATTGGAACCCAGTCCAGGATCCTCTGTGGCCAGTGGACTCTAGTGAGCCCTACCTCCTTGATATCTGTCAAAGCAAGGTGATGGGGGAACAAGGGCTATGTTCTTAAAGTCACTGTGTGAGTACAGAGGAAGTTAGCACCAGACAGGAAGGGCAGAAGGTCAGGAGTCCACTCATTTCCTTTTCCTTAGAAGATGCTGAGTCTGGCCCAGGAAGGAGGAGGGGCATTGGGCTGGGGTGGGGCAGAGATGGAGTCCCAGTCTGAGTGTCAGGATTCAGCCTGGGGTCAGGGTTCTGCCCAGGGTTGTGGTTGAAGGGGAGGGCTGGGGCTGGGGTCGGACATTGGTTTGGGGTTCAAGCAGGGCCCAGTCCTTAGCCTGGGGCCTGGTTTGGGACTCAGAATGCAGTAGGGTCAGGGTGGGTGTAAGGCCAGGCCATGGAGAGCATTTCGGCGTGAGCAGCTGTGACAAATATTTTAGGCACACAAATAAATTGGAAGGAAAAAACCAGGAAAAATAAGGAATGACCCGTTAGTTTAGTGGAGTTTCTCTTAACAGCCACCAAAGCAGCAGCTCCTCCCTAATGGACCCTGTAATAGGCTACAGACTCCGCTGGGGCAGGAAAGGGAGTCATGGGGGATGGCAGACTTGCTCGGTGGTCCTGGAGAGACCTTCCTGGAGGAGATATGTGACTGGCTTGGAGTACCAGGGAGGCCTCTGCCTGACCAGCACCCAGCTCAGCTTCCAGCAGCAAGACTGGAATGCTCTGCAGTCAAGGGTGGGGCTGGTGAGTCACTGGGCTGTCTGCTGGATGGGGCCTGAGCTGACCCTGGACTCTGTTTCTCCCAGTGCTGCTGGGCCTCTCTGTCCAGACTCCAGAATATCAGCTTCTCCCTGCTTCCCTGTGAAGCCGGCAAGGCAGACATGACCATCCCTGTTTTACAGATGGGGATACTGAGGTCTAGAGGGCCGCGATGCAGCAGAGCCAGATGAGCTCCCGGAATTCCTTTAGTTAGTAGGGACAGACCTGACTTTGGATGCTGGCAACTCAGGCAGAGGGATCAGGTAGGGCAGAGTCACGGAGGTGGGACCTAAGGGTTGTGGCTACAATGGGAGAAGGGCCTGGAAATCTGACCTCCATACCCTGTGGCCAGCATTGAAGCTTTCTCTGTCCTCTCTTCTCAGGTTCCCAATAAGGCTGCACAGAGGACCCCCTTAACTGTGGCAATGGAGGGGGGCCCAGCAGTCTGCTGCCAGGACCCCCGGGCAGAGCTGGTGGAACGAGTGGCAGCCATTGATGTGGCCCACTTGGAGGAGGCAGGAGGTGGCCCAGAGCCTGCCAGAAATGGTGTGGACCCTCCGCCAAGGACCAGAGCTGCCTCCGTGATCCCCGGTGGTGCTTCAAGACCACCCCTAGGCCGGCCCAGCCTCTCAGCTAGGAAGTTCTCCCTGCAAGAGCGGCCGGCAGGAAGCTGCCTGGAGGCCCAGGCTGGGCCTTATGCCACAGGGCCTACCAGCCACATCTCCCCACGGGCCTGGCGGAGGCCCACCATTGAGTCCCACCACGTGGCCATCTCAGATGCAGAGGTTGGTGGGGCAGAGCTAGGGGGTCCCCGTGAGCTTCTCGGTGAAGATGCTTTTCTGTCCCGGCCCCTGCCACACAGCTGCCTGGCCTTTGCATTTGCATTCCCCCCAGAGTTGAAGAGCCTGCTGTCTCACAATATGGCTCTTCCCACCAGGGGAGCTCCGACTGAGCCAGTCACTGCCTCCTACAAGTCCCACCATTCCTACCCTTAGGCCAGGCCTCAGAAATAGGCCCCTCCCTTGTCCCCCAAGAAGTCCTCTTAGAGATTTGAAGATAGGTAGTATGTCTGCCCTCCCTACCACGAGTCTAACCCAGCTTTAGCCCCCACTTCTAATCCTGCTTCTTAGAGTCTCCTCTGACTCAGAAGCTGCCAGTGTGTTTCCAGCCTCTGTTCTTGCTTCTGTTTCTCTGTCCCACTGGCTCTGTCCTTGCCACTTAGATCTGAAAGTGAGTCCTAGTACCGAGCGAGCAATCTACCGATTGCAGAGCCTGGGCTTTTTATGCCTGAGTGGGGACTCTGGTCTCTTGTCCCTAAGGCTCTCCTCATCTTTCTTGTCCATGCAGCCAAGACCTTGCATTTAGCTGCTTCTAGAAATACTTGCTCATGTGTTTCAAACAGATGAAGGTCTCCCAGACGCCAGCGCTCAGGCAGGCATCAGGGCATTTTTCCTTCACCGCTTCCTAGGCAGTAAAGTACAGCCATGGCTCACCATTCATGTTTGCAAACACCATCCAGGGCCTCTTGTCACTTTTGATGGCATGGACACCGCCACGTTTCCCCCCATCCAGACTTGAAAGGTTGATGAGATGTGGGGTCTGAGAGTGAGGGGCCCAGAGCCAGGATTGGGCCCTGAACAGGCTCCTGAGGTGGGATCCACACTGCCTCTGGGTCAAACTTTACCTGATGTTCCCCTCTTCCTCCCCTCCCCCCCACCCCCAGGACTGTGTACAGCTGAACCAATACAAGCTGCAGAGTGAGATTGGCAAGGTAGGACTGGGGCAGGCGGTGGGGACTTTTCTCTTGAGGCTTTGTGGAGGCAGCCTCTCAGGATCCTCTGCTTGACAGTTCCTTCTCCCCTGGGAATGTGAGGCAGAGCCAGAAAGGCCCCAGCTTAGAGGTGAAGAGAGTTTTGTCCTCTAGGACGTATCCAGGGAGGGGTGGGAAATAATTCCCCATTCCTGATTCCTTAGTTTTTGATGGAAGACAAAGGGACTGAGGGAGCATAGAGCTGTGTTGAGCCCGGCAGAGGCAGTTCCCGGGGCGCAGGAACCCTCTCCCTGTCTGCCAGAAACGTATGCCTGCTGGGGGCCAGCTGGTGGTGGGGTTGGTGGTGGGCTGTGGAGGGAGGGGGCCGGAGCTGTTCGGGCTGCCCATTCCCTGAGCTAGTCCGGGGTGGGGCTGACCAGTGCGTATTTCCAGGGTGCCTACGGCGTGGTGAGACTGGCCTACAACGAAAGTGAGGACAGGCACTATGTGAGTCTGGGGATGGGAGGGAGGTGTTGCCCCGGGCCAGGCCCCAGAAGCCTGGGAAGTGGGACGCTGCTGTGCTGGGAAGACCGAGGACAAGGTTGCCTCTAGGGGGCGTGAGCTCCTGTCCCTAAGGGTATGCTTAGTAAAAGGAGTAAGCTTCTTGACCCTGAGAATATGCCCGCAGAGGCTGGGCCCCTCTGAGGGGAGAGCTCCAGAAAGGCTTATTGGGGAAACAGGGGGAAGACCTAGACTCAGATGTGGCCGCTTCCTAACCCGGCTTACCCACACACCTAGGCCACACCTTCAGCTCTGGTGGCAGTCACCAAGTGTTCCTTTCTGGACCTCTATCCACATATAACCAGCCTGTTCTAGCTCCTGGTGGCTACCCACAAGTGACATTTCTGCCCCTCCCTCCTCAGGCAATGAAAGTTCTTTCCAAAAAGAAGTTACTGAAGCAGTATGGCTTTCCACGTATGTATCTGCTGGGTCCTGTGCTTGGGAGCTCCTTGCCTGGGGCCAGAGAAGGAGGGGACCTCGGTCCCTAGCTAGTTTTTTTAGGGCTGGGGTAGAGGTGGGGACAGCATGAGCAAAGGCCTGGTGGTGGGAATGTGCTTGGTGGGTCGGTCTTATAAGATTCTTGCTTGAGGCTGGTTGCAGGGCCGTGATGAGGCCCAGCCTCCTGCAACAGGGGCTTGACTCACCTTCCTGGTCACAGGTCGCCCTCCTCCAAGAGGGTCCCAAGCCACCCAAGGAGGACCAACCAAGCAGCTGCTGCCCCTGGAGCGAGTGTACCAGGAGATTGCCATACTGAAGAAGCTGGACCATGTGAATGTGGTCAAGCTGATTGAGGTAGGAAGCAGTGGTGAGTGGCTGGGAACTCGTGCCCAAGTCCTGTGCTTAGGAACACTCAGCGCAGACCTAGGGCTCTCACTGCAGGAGTAATGTGGCTAAGGCCTCCAAAGACAGAGCTAGACTTGGGGTGGGGGCTATAGGGAGGCTTCAGGGGTCAGTTTAGGCTGGTCTGGGATGTTCTCAAGGTCTCGGTGAGGGTCAGGGGCTCAGGGTTGAGGGTCCGTGAGTTTTGAGGCCTCGTCTATCTGGTGCCTGCACAGTTCCTGCTCCATTGTCTGGGGTCACTGCAGAGCATCCTGGGGGTACTGGTGAGTACAAGGAAGTCTGGGGCTCCCACCCCATGCCTCCCCCACCCGTACTCCCATGTCTGTTCCCTCTGACTAGGTTTTGGATGACCCAGCTGAGGACAATCTCTATTTGGGTAAGTGACTCAGCTCATTCCCAAAGCAGCTTACCTGGGGTCAGTCCGAGGGCTCCCCAGGGACACACATGAACTTCAGATGGGCTGGGTGAACATGTTCTCAAGCCCTGGATTCCCTTGCCTATCCCTGCCAACCCAGGCTTAGAATATCAAGTTAGATTCAACAAATATTCCTAAGCCCCCACTCCACTAATCAGAGAGACAGTGGATCAGGTAGATGCAGGAAGCAGGCTATGGGATATGGGTTCCCAGACCCTGTCTGATAGTTCTGTGCCTCAGTTTCCTCACCTGTAAAATGGGGACAATGTATCCACCTCATAGGGCTGATATGAGGAGTAAATGAGTCATTATATACAAGATTGTTGTTAATGTTAATTTCATGGCTGGGTTTAGAGGCCCTGAAAAGGGGCAGAAAGAACACTGGCTTAGGAATTAGGGCCAAGGCTTTAGTCTTCACTCCCTGTCCTACCTGCCTATCTGCTATGACCTTTAGGAAAATTCCTGACCCTTCTCCAAGCCTCATTTACCTACCCCCTTCCCAGAAAAGGAATCCATGCTGAATCAGATGAGGCAGATCCATAGTAAAACTACTCTCACCCATTTACTTCCTCTGATACCCTGGGACCCTTGTCCCATCCCTCCCTCAGGTATGCTTGGATGCCTGACCCTCTCCTATCTTCCAGAACACGGGAGGGACCTTGGCATCACCTACTTTGCTAGCCTGGCTGTACCTTACTTACTTTTTCTTTTCTTTTCTTTCAGTGTTTGACCTCCTGAGAAAGGGGTGAGTTCCCCTTCCCAGTCAGGCAGGCCAAGTCTAATCCAGGCCTTCTTTTCCCTCCCTGTGTCCCTAATCCCAGGGTCAACTACTCTAGGAGAAAGCAGAGGCCAAGGCCCTGCCCTTGGGGAGCTCTAGTCTGGGGGAAAACAAGAGACCAAGAGGACAATTCTTTGAAGTCTGATGGGGGTCAGTGAGGCTGGAACATTTCAGTGAGTCCTCTGAAAGAGGGGGTGGGTTTTGAGCCAGGCCTTGAAGAACTGGAAAGATTATGAGGGAGGAGAGGGAGAAGAAAGGAGTGTTTCTCAAGCAAATATGTAGAGATGGGGCTCTTACCTGGATTCAAATCACAAACAGTTCTTTCAGCTTTACAAGTTTATGAGTTGGGTGGGTGGGACTCCATTTGCTGCCATTTACAAGAGGGGAAGCTGAGGTTCAGAGTGGGAAGTGGCTTGCCCAAGGTCACACAGTTCTAATTCATGTCTGCCCTATTTGGCCTTCCCAGGGTATTTGCAAAGCAGCAGACATGGGGTACTGGGCACAGGCCTGGGTGGACCAGAGGCCCTAACTGTCCAGACCTTGAATATAGGCTACGTATGGCTTGTGATTTGTCTCTCTGCGGGGAGTGGGGGTGCTAAGAGTAGCATCCTTCTCAAGATTCAGAAGCTTTCAAATATTTTTGACCTTCATATGTTTTACATTGCCATCCATATCTGCAAATGAAACCAAAGTTTTACAAAACATTGCATATCTTTATTACATGTGATATACTCTGATAATTCTACTTCATTAGAGAAACAGAGCATTAGCTAACCACTAAGAGGATTTCATGACCCTCTATTAGGTCTAGACCTACAGTTTGAAAAACACTACTCTGAATGACATCTTTGTAACAGTTCGGTTATGGAAAATTAAGTACTTAGAAGACGGAATACCGAGCCAATCAGAAATTAAGATAAAGCTAATTTGAAATTATAATGATTGTATAGGAATATTTGGGTCTGTGTGTGTTTTAAGTGTTTCATTATATGGGAGAACTAGCTAATGTCTTGGGTTCTGGGGAGCAGTTTGGGCATAGAGGGCTCCCGGGAAGTCCCGAGGGGCCTAAATGGCCCAGCCCCTATCCCGCTTCACCAGCTAGTCAGCTTTTACTCATTCTGATTCAGCTGAACACTGCTCCTCCCCACCCTTCCTGTAGGCCGGTCATGGAGGTACCCAGCGACAAGCCCTTCCCGGAGGAGCAAGCTCGTCTCTACCTGCGGGACATCATCCTAGGCCTTGAGTACTGTGAGTGAGGGGCTGCGTGCCCCCGGAACAGGGGTACAGAGGAGGGAGACACCGGAAGGGGTGGGGCCCAGGCTGAGCTAGCTCTTGGCAGTTCTTGTCTGTCAGCGCGGATCTACCAATCAGCTTCATATGGGGGCGGGGCGTGGGCTGGGGGCGGGGCCTAGCATCTCCTGTGGGAAGGGGAAGGGAGTGGTGGCCGACTTCCCTGGATGCCTGGATGCCTGGATGCGTGCGGGTTGCCTCGCGTGGCTAGTCACCATCAAGTCGGGCTGTGCCTGGGGTGTTCTCTGTAACTCTTCTGCTGAGTAGTTCTTAGCCAAGGCTTAACCTGTGCACGGGGCCTCAAGAGATGTAGGAAGGGAGAGATTTACATCGGCTATCTGTGCTGTCACGGGTCCTGTGCGTGCGGAAGGGTGTGTTTACTGTGAGGGCCCTCAGGTGATGAGAGCTCAGGAGGGAGGATGTTAGCATGGCCTCTCTCTCTGGAATGCACTTATTCATTCATTCATTTGCTTCGCTTACTGCATTCTTATATGAGTACCTGCTAAGGGACAGCTAGAGGCAAGGAGATGACAAAGACCCGGATGGGAACTCCGGGATCTCACAGCCTCGTGGAAGGAACGAGAAACGAAGCAGGCGGCTATAGTGCAGTGCCTGCTAAGGCTGGAGAGGCCCACGGCTGTCAGAGCACTGAGGGGAGGCTTCCTGGAGGAGGCCACTTGTGACAGGGTCCTGAAGGATAAGTAGGAGTTCGCTGGCCAGGCTTGAGGGACGATGGATGGGAGCGAGTATGCGGAGCAGAGCCTAGCAGAGGCACAGCGGGCAGTGGGCATGTCCTATTTGAGAATGGGGAGAAGTAAAGTCTGGCTGAAGCCTGGCCCTGAGGGTGGTGAAACATGATGCTGGGAAGCTATTCAAGCCACACCAGGAGGGCTTTCCTGACTTTATCCTGTCAGCATTGTCAGCCCCTGAGGGCTTTGAGAAGGGAGGGGCATGACAGGATTTGCATCTTAGAAAGCTCTTTCTGGCAGCTGTGTGGTGGCTAAGTAAAGGGCAAAAGGTGGCCAGCTGGTTAGGAAAGAGGCTTTTTCTACAGCCCAAGTGACAGATGGTGAGGCCTGGATCAGGACAGTGTCAGTGGGGAGGAGACATGAAGGAGGTGAGCGGGAACAGCGCTGGATGACTGATTGGCCATGGGGAGGGGAGGGCCCTCAGACACCTAGGTTTCCGGCCTGGTTTGGGGAAGCGGATTGGTGCCCATCTCTCTAGAATCTTAGCTTGGTTTATCAGGAGCATATTCTCTCCCTGGGTGAACAGGGTGAGGACCTAGCAGAGATGACAGGAACCAGGATTATCTTTCTCTCATTTGAGTCGCTCCAGCGCCCTCTAATTAATACTCTCTTTGTATATATGGGGAAACTGAGACACACAGACAGGAGGGCTTTGCAGATAGTCCCTCTCAAGGGTCTAGACTTATGGGAAGGGGGCATTTCATCCTGGGTGTGAAAAGTGGTAGCCACAACCCTATACCAGGTTGGCTTCCACCCCTTCCTGTCCTGGGCCCTTCCCTTCAGCTGAGGGCCTGCTGTCCTCCATCCTCTGTTCTCCACCCACCACCCAAAAACAAGCTAATCCCATCTGGCTTTTGGTAAAGCCTTATCAAGACCCAGCTAATCATAGTGAAGGGCTTCCCAGAGCCCATTGGTCAGAACCAGGGGCTGGACAGGCAGATGAATGGAGGCACCAGGCACTGAAGGTGTGATTCTGTCCTTGTGATTCTGGTCCTCTAGGGGAGGGTCAAGGCTTCTTGGGGAAGGCTCTGTGGTCAGGGAGCCCAGGCCTGATTCTTAAAGATGGGGCAAGTGCAGCAATGCAGGTATGAGAGCAGTCAGATCTGGAATATAGCTTAGAAGTTGAAGTTGAGCTCATAGGACTTGTTGATGAATAGGATATGGAGTCTGAAAGGGGAGTTGGGGATGATCCTGAGGTTTTTGGCCTGAGCAACTGATAATGTGCCATTAACCGAATAGGAAAGACCAAAGGAGGAACAGGGGTCTTCTGTTTTGTTTGTTTGCGGGGGGTAGGGGGGGTACGTTGCTGACAGAGAAATCAAGGTCTGAATTAGACGTGTTATTGAAAAATATTGAGATCTACATTGAGATGTCTACTGGATATCCACATGGATAAAGAGCCCAAGTTCAGGGGAGAGGCTAGGGTTTGAGATAAGAATTTGAGACCACTTTCCATGGTCAAATACACAGCCCCTTGAGCCTCTGCCCTCCAGTGGGTGTGTGTCAAATCACTCGTTGCAGCAGGGTCACAGGGCGCAGTCACCACGGGACCGCTGGTTTGGTTGTTACTGTTGTGTGACACTCAGTCCCTTTGCCCGGAGCCTTCCCGCCCTCCAGCTCTCCTCTCCTCTTTCCTCCTGCCCTTTCCATCTCTCCTCCTCTGCAGCATCTTGGGATCTGCTGGTGCAGGGGAAGGTATTTGCCGAGTGGGGAGCCCGTACGTGGGTGGCGTGGGTAGACTCGGTGCCTTCTCTCAGCTGGGTCGTCTCTGGGCATCTCAGCCTTGAGAGGCCCATTTTCCTGGCAGTCCCAGAGTCAGGGAGCAAGGTGAGCGCTCAGCGTCCTGGAGAAGGCTGCTCCTTACCCCCGCCATGTCTGTCCCAGCAGTCCCAAGGCCTGGAGTGCCCTCTTTCTCTGAAACCCCTTCAGCCCAAAGTCCCTACGCCTGAGGCGGTATTTCTGCAGGATACTTCACTGCAGGATACTCCACCCTAAGTCCAAGAAGGAAGAACATCCCTGACCAGGTGGGGTGGGGGAAGAGACTGGGGAAATGTTCTGACAGGCTTTGGGACTGCGGATAACATGAGGGAGGGCGAGACATGGCCAGTGGAGAGCCTCCCTTCCCGATTTCCTCTGATAGCCCCCCTCAGCAACAGGTGTCTTGATTGCCACAGAGAGCACTGCATTTGGAGTCCAAAGACTCCTCAGAGTCCAGTCCTAGCTTTGTTTCGAACAGCCTGGGCTGGCCTTGGTCTCTCCACCGCATCGTGGAGCAGAGGGGGCCCTAAAGTCCCTTTCGAGGTCCTCCTGAGACAAGTGTGTGCATGGGCTCCTTCCCACCTAGAGTTTGAGATGGGCTTCCCTGGCCAGGTGAGGGCAGGGGGTGGGCGTGCGGGCTCCAGGCATTGGTCGCCCGCACCAGCACTCAAGCTGCCTCTCTCCGCAGTGCACTACCAGAAGATCATCCACCGGGACATCAAGCCATCCAACCTGCTCCTGGGAGATGACGAGCATGTGAAAATTGCTGACTTTGGCGTTAGCAACCAGTTTGAGGGCAACGATGCTCAGCTGTCCAGCACAGCCGGGACTCCAGCATTCATGGCCCCTGAAGCCATTTCTGATTCTGGCCAGAGCTTCAGTGGGAAGGTGGCTTCTAGGACCTGGGCTGAGTTGGGGTTCAGGCGGACGGGTGGGATAGCCTGCAGTGGGGCCTCGTTTCCAACCTGAGGGTGTCAGGGTCCTTAGGTCTCAGGAGTGAACACTGAACATGGTCCTCTCCTTCCTGTTTGCTTCTTCCTGGGGTCTTGGAAAATCTCCCCAACTTTGGCCTCCTCTCATTTTCCAGCAAAATGGCCCCAGGCCTCCCCTGCAGATACTTTCTGCCCACTGCTGTGTGCTGAGTGCGGGCCGGGCTGTGAAACAGAGCCCAGACAGCCCAGCTCGCTGTCCTTCTGGAGGTGGTGGAAAAGAGCAGGAGAGCTCATGTTTGGGAAGAAGTTGGAGGCTCCCCTCAGACTCTTTGGAGATGGCAGGGTTTGAACTAGACCTTGAAGAATGGGGAGGATTTGAGCATGAGGTGGAGTCCAGAAAATGTACGAGAGCACTGAGGGGCACAGGGAAGGGGGCATGATGGGCCTTGGGCAGAGTTTAGAAGGCGGCTTGGGGACTTGGGGTTCCTCCTAACTGACAGAGGCAATGGGCACAGCTTTCTGAGCAGGGGGCTGCAGTGTAGTGTGTTCCCCTGGGCACATGCCTGTTCTCACCTGCCAAGGAGGCAATGGTTAAGAGGCATCTGGACACGTGTGTGGATGTGGAGCTCAAAAGAGAGGTCAGGGATGTAGATAGAGATTTTTTTAAGAGCTTCTAATTTTGATATAATTCCAAATTTACAAAAAATTGCAAGAATAATACAAAAAAAACCCTCCCATGTATCTTTTTACTCAGATTCACCAATTATTGACATTTTGTCCCATTTACCTTTTGACCATCTCTCCCTATATTTAAGTGATTACATTTTTCTGAACCATTTGAGAGTTAAGTTGGAGACATTATCCTCCTTTATCACTAAATATTTTAGCAGATATTTTCTTTTTTTTTTTTAAAGATTTTATTTAGTTATTTATTAGAGAGCGAGCGAGAGAGAAACAGCATGAGAGGGGGGAAGGTCAGAGGGAGAAACAGGCTCCCCGCCGAGCCGGGAACCCGATGTGGGGCTCGATCCCAGGACTCCGGGATCATGACCTGAGCCGAAGGCAGTCGCTCAACCGACTGAGCCACCCAGGCGCCCCTTAGCAGATATTTTCTAAGAACAAGGACATTCTCTTACATAACCTCAGTACGATTATCAAAATTAGGAAATTTATCATTGATACAAGACTAAACGACCTTATTCACATTTCTTTCTTTTTTTTTTTTT